TTGGTCGCCTTGGCATGTCCGTCCAAACCTTCTACCTACTGCTTCCTGCAGACCGCCTCAGAGCCATCGCAGCCCTGTTCACGGATCTGCAACACCCTGGTCTCCCGCCCCCTCGTCATCCCTATTGGCTACGGCTGCTAAGGCATTTGTGCCATGTCCCATCGATCATAACCGTTTAGGTCCGCCCCTTTCCTAATTCTCGCCAATCAGGAGTCAAACATTGCACAAGTCTACCCCTCCCCCTTCACGGACAAGCGGCAGGATAGCCACAGCTCCAGCCTTAGGCCACATGACTGAGTCCGGGTGGGCCAGACTTTCTACCAGGCGGCGGTGGCTGCTCTCACAGAGACCCAGAAGGGAAGAAACGCGACTTGGACGTACAATGTCGTACTCGCTCTCCCCTGGGGGCAGGGCGGGGGCGAGACTCTCTCCCTGGTAGGCTGTTCTAAGAGGCGGGACTTCCTCCTGGCTGTGGAGTGGGCGGAACCACTGCCGAGAGCTTAGGCCCACCAGTCGTTCAAGTCCGCTTCAGAGCTGCTCTTTAGGGATTCTTTCTTGTGCGGACATCCCTCAGTTGGGATCCTGGAGGCGTGAACCAGCCTCCCGGAAAGTCTGGCCCACCCGGACAGGGCTGACCCGGCGGATTCCAGGGTGGGCAACCCGACGCTGGTGCGCTCGGTCGGCCAGCTCCAAGGCTTGAGGGCCACCAACAGCGTTTTTCATGAATGCATTCATAAAGCCATGTAATCAATTGCAAGAAATTGAAAAAGTAAACACAAATTGGAGCCAATGCGCTTGCGATGTAATCCTTAAGATATGAATTTGCTCTCTCTCCTGTGGCTTTCCATCTGTAATTCCCCTCATCCCCCCCACCTGCCCCCCCCCCTCACTTCGGCTCCTCCTGTAAGAAAGTAAAGACAGAATTTGTCCAGAAGTTCGAGGACTAGCTGTCCTGGAATAAGCAGCAAGCGGTGGAACAAGAGAAATCCTGTTTTAACAAGGTGGAAGGCCTGAACTGACTTCTGAACATTGTCCTCTGACCTCCACACACCATAGTCATATATACTGTAGTCACAAACATACACTGTACCTTGGAATAGTTTTTACCTATCTGTGCAGACTTCCTGAACATACAGCCAGATGACAGATAAAATGAGGGGCTGGATAGAGACTTGGCTCAGTAGTTCAGAACACTTGTTGCTGGTTCCAGTTCCCAACAGTAGCACCGACATGATGACTTAGAACCTGTAACTCTGGTTTCAGGGTTACACCTACACCTTCACCTTCTGACCTCCACAGGCACCAGGCATACATGTGATCGTAGACACACATAACAGGCAAAGCACCCTTCTGTAGCAGGCTTTTTGTTTTTGTTTTTGTTTTTCAAGACAGGGTTTCTCTGTGGATTTGCAGGCTGTCCTGGAACTCACTTTGTAAACCAAGCTGGTCTCAAACTCACAGAGATCCTCCTGCCTCTGCCTCCTGAGTGCTGGGATTCAAGGCATGCGCCACCACTGCCTGGCCCAGGCTTTTTCTTTAGGGCCACCAACCAGCTTCCAAATCATGACACAGTGACTTACTAGTTTTGAATGCTTGGTCTAGCTTAGATACGTTTCTGGCTAGCACTCTTAACTTGAATTAACCTATTTCTCTTTATCCACTTTTGGCATGGAGCTTATTATCTTTCTTCTGTATATCTTAATTTCACTGCTTCTGTGGCTGTCTGGCTGGCATTTGCCTAGTTCTTGCCCCAGTTGTTTCCCTTGTTCTCTCCTCCTCTTGTTCTTCTTTCCAGCCTAGATTTCTCCTCCTATTTATTTTCTCTACCTGGAAGCCCTGCCTATCCCTCTGCTGCCTAGCTATTGGCCATTGAGCTCTTTATTAGACCAGTCAAGTGCCTTATGCAGGCAAGGTGAAACAGCAACACATCTTTACATATTAAACAAATGTAGCATAAATAAGCGTAACAATCTTTGCCTAGTTAAAATAATATTCCACAACACCCTTCACATAAAATACCTCCCCCCCCCTCCGCTTTTTTGGTTTTGGTTTTTCCAGACAGGGTTTCTTTGTGTAACAGCTCTGGCTGTCCTGGAACTTGATTTGTAGACCAGGCTAGCCTCAAACTCAGAGATCCACCTGCTTCTGCCTCCTTGAGTGCTGGGATTAAAGACATATGTCATTGTTGTCTGGCTAATAAATTATTTTTTTAAAAAAGTAATGAATCTTGGCCAAAGGTGATGGTCAAGCTGTTTGATAACCAGCATTCATGAGTCAGAGGCAGATGGATCTCTGTGAGTATGAGTCTACAGAGTATGGTCTACAGAGTTCCAGGTCAGACAAGAAAACTGTGTTTTAAAAAAGATAATAAGAGCTGGGCAGTGGTAGCACATGCCTTTAATCCCAGCACTCCAAAGGCAGAGGCAGGCAGATCTCTGTGAGTTCAAGGCCAGCCTGGTCTACAATGTGAGTTTCAGGATAGCCAGAGCTGTTCTACAGAGAAATCCTGTCTTGAAAAACCAAAAAGACAAAAACAAACAAACAAACAAACAAACAAATAAAAAAAGACAATAAGCTGCTATTGATGGCACAAGTTTATGATACTGGCTGCTTGGGAAGTTGGGACAGGAGGCCAAAAGAGAAGTTTCCAGCCAAGCTAACTCAGATGCTGCCCCTGTAACTCAGGTGCTGCTTCTTCATAAGACCACTGAACAGTCAACACTTTCTGAAACACAGTCTGTACAGGAAAAGCCAGGGTGCTACCACAGTGATCAGGTGCCCATGGAGTACTGAGCATGTCCACAGCTGACATCTATTCTGGCTGCTGGGAAGGCAAGGAAGTCCCTAGTACTCAGGAGAATGAGGCAGGAGGATTGCCATGAGTTCAAGACAAGCTTGGGCCACAAAACAAAACCCTAGCTTTAAAGGAAGGTGCTGGAGTGATGGCTGAGCTGTTAAGAATGGTTGCTGGCTGCTCTTCCAGAGGACCTGGGTTCAATTCCCAGCACCCACATCGCAGCTTACAACTGTCTGTAACTCCAGTTCTAGGGGATCCAACACACCCCTCACACAGACATACATGCAGGCGAAACACCAATGTATATAAAATACAAATAAATTACTTTTTTAAAAAATGGTTGCTGAACTTGTGCAGGACTGGAGTTTGGTTCCCAGTACTACACCCCCAAAGCTCACAACCACCTACAACTCCATTGTCAGGGGATCCAATGCCCACTCTGCCCATCCTGGACACCCACACTCATACATACATACACTCACACAGATGCACATGTATAACAGAAATGAACCTTTTTAGATCCTCATGTCAACAATGGCCAAGCTGTGAAACAGATGCTGTGTCCAGCAGCCACAGAACAGCAGGTACAGTTTACAGCAGATGCTGATCTGTAAAAGGATAAGTATGTGGAAAAGCCAGGGCATCTACCAGACTCCCACACTGAAAACTGTCTCTTTAGTTGTGTGAATACGTCATTGACACTGCTCTTGCCGTCTCCACTGATTGGTTTCCCAGATTGTACAGAGTGGAGGTCAGCGGACAACCCCTCAAGAGAAGAGCAAAAGGCACAAAGGACCAGCCTGACGTACATGAGACCCCATTTCAAAAGAGAAGTTTCAGTTACTCACAAGTCCTGGCCATAGCCTAGCAGCAAGGAGAAGCCCCACAAGCCTTGCATAGTAGACAGATCCAGACACCTGGATAGACATTGTAGCTAGTGAAGAAAGAATGAGAAGGACAGGCTATTTTTGTGTCCCAAATGTCTGTAGACAAGTTTTTAGTTACAAAGGAAGGCAGCTTAAGATAGGAACCCTGACAGCTCCTGGGGAGAGTCACCAGTTTGACAGCGCTAGGCACCTGTCTACCAAGGTAATGTCCACACAGGTAACAGTCCTTGTTACAAATGCATGAGCTACGTCTGAGAATCTTCAGAAAAACCTCCATGGACACAGCTCCCTGCAAGAGGCAACTCCTGTGGCTCCAATGCCAGTGTTCCTTCAGCCAGCTCTGGTGCCAGGTCCTGACTGGTCCCCAGAAGGGCAGACAGCCCAGTACTCTGCTGCACAGAATGACAGCTGCCAGGCAAATCTTATGACAGGGCTGCACAAGAGCCAGCTGGGCTGAGATCAGCACCTTCTCCCGATGGGAGTCCAGGAGTGGAGGAGTGAGAACAGGCAACTAAAGGATGTATAAGGGTGGCCAGGCAGAGTGCGGACAGGATGCAAGTACAGGAAGTGGTAACCTATGTGCAGATGAGCCCCAAAGGATTACCAAGAAGCCCAGGTCCAAGGCCTCTGCACTTGGACCAAAAGACAGCTATGGGACCTACCTAAACCTAACCTCCAGTATTGCAAACGATAGAAGCCACTTTCAGCAAGCTCTGGATGGACACAGGCTCACACTGGGCCATTTGGCACTTCCCAGCTGGCCTCTACGGATCCCTTGAGGAGCCCCAGACTAGGAAGCAACTGAGGGCTTCCTCTCCATAATCAGGACAACAGGCCTGGAGGCATCTGAAGACTGCAGGTGGTAAGAGTCAGTTCAAGCCAGGTAGTGTTGGCACACGCCTTCAATCCCAGCACTTGGGAGGCAGAGGAAGAGGCAGAGGCAGAGGCAGGCAGATCCTTGAGTTCAAGGCCAGCCTGGTCTACACAGCAAGTTCTGGGACAGTTGGGGCTATGTAGAGAAACCCTATTAGTCCAGGTCAGTACTCTATCTTGTATGGAATCCACATATTCAGAGTTCAGAGTAGACACCCCACCCCCCCTCCATCCTCTCAGGGTGAAACTATAGCCAGAAGCCATGAGGCCCTAGGTCTGTTCACCTATCTAAGAGGTCTTTAAGGGTTTAGGGCTGCACAGCCACACAGCAGAGCCATTGTAGTGGCCTTGGGCAGGAAATGATGGCAGTCATTATGGAGTAACACAATGCTCCATCTAGCCCACGCACCTAGAGCCTGGCCAGACTTGAATCACACCCAAACTGGTACTCCAAACTCATGAGAGGTTTTATTGTCACCACAGGGTCAGGATTCATCTTCACCAACACCCTCCATTGGGTGCTTAAAAGTTGCTGTGGCCTACAGTAAAGGGAAGCAGGCACAGATGAACCAGTGTGGATAGTCCTGAGTGCCCCTGAGAGACAGACAGGGCTGGCTGCCCCTTCCTGCCCACAGTGGACACTTCTAGACCATAAGGCAGTAAAGCTTCCTACCCCCTAGGGACTAGCTCACATGGAATCCTACTAAGTGGCAGGGAATCCTGGCCATTCCACCTCCCCAAAGTCATTCACACACTGAGCAAAAGAAGTGCCTGTCCATAGGGGAGCTGTCTGGTCCTGTAAGAAGTCAATGAGAGAAGAAAGAATATTTTGCCAAAGGGCCTATCCTCTCATGGGGCACTAAGCAAGAGCAGGGCAGTAAGGTGGGCAGGTATCCAATTACCCCACATGGTATTACTTCAAGCAAAGGACACCCAGTGGCTTATTAGCAGCAATTTCACAAAGCAATCTCCATGGAGCAGCAACAAGCAAACCCAATGAAGTACAGAGTGAGGGATTAGTTCGCTGGGGCAGGGGATCAGCAGCTGCCTCAGTTTTCCAGATGGGAATGTTCTGCTGAGGCTTGTGGAGTGCACCCAGGTACCCAGGAGTGTTCCTACCCAAAGCAGCCAAGGAGACCTGCCAGCATATCCCAGAGTCTGAGCACTCCTAGCAATAGGCTCAGTGCAACGACTGTAACAAACCAGGTGGACGCCACACAGCTGGTGCTAGAGCAGTGGTTCTCAACCTTTAGGTTACGGCCCCTTTGGGTGTTGAATGACCCTTTCACAGGGACAGGGGTCACCTAAGACCATAGGAAAACACAGATATTTACATTACAATTCATAACAGTAGCAAAATTACAGTTATGACATAGCAACGAGAATAATTTTATGGCTGGAGGTCACCACGACATGAGGAACTGTATTAAAGGGTCGCAGTGTTAGGAAGGTTGAGAACCATTGTGCTAGAGAGATGGAGTTCAGGACTGAAGCTGACAGGGCCTGAGAGCCAGAGTAGCAACTCAAAGGTAAGGCCTGCCTACATTTAGCACACAGAGAGTCTGGTTGGCCCAAGTGGGACCTGAGATAAAGCCATGGTCAGTGCTATCCTGGTAGTGAGCGTGATGGCTGTGTCCAGCTCCTCAGTCCTGTTTGTCCTCTCTCTGCCTCCAGGGGTAGATGAGCTCTCCGAAGAACAGCTTTCGGCACAGGGAGCCCCAAGAGTGCTTGGGGTGGCAGCCACAGCTAGGCAGGCGGTAGGTGTGCACCACATGGCTATAGGGCAGGGGGTTTATCTGCAAGGGCAGGGTAATTATTAGTGGGGTACGCAGTCATGGGTGCTTCAGTTGTGTCTACAGAGGAAGGTCTTGAGGACTGACACCCTGGGCCTGACTAGCCCTCGAGAGAACCTTTGGCAATTGTAGGGCGAGGCCAGCTAGGCCCTGACAAACCTTTGCCTGTGGGATAGCCAAGCTGATCCTCAGAGAAGCAGGCCACAATGCACTTTGATTCCCTGAGGAAGGGACTGTGACAGGGGAGCTCAATGTCCCTTTGGGTCAGTAATGCCCTATCTTAGGACCACTCTGCATCTGAGAGCTGCCTGGGAGAAGGATCATGCAGATGCCTGAGTGTCCAAAAGACGCCAAGCTTGGACTTGGCCTAAGGTACAACTCATACCTGGCCTGTCACCCCAAAACTTGTTCTGCTCCCTCCCATTGGGGCCAAGAACTCAATACTTAACAGTGAAAGAGCCAGGGGTCCAAGTCCAACAGGAAATGACTGCTTGTCCTGAGGCCTTTGTTAAATCATTTCTGCTTCATCACAACCTTGAGCATGATGGGGTCCAGGGCAAATCATGATGTCTGTGACCCAGTACAAGGGGCCCCCATCCACAAGCCAGACTATATATCAGCTATGTAGACATAATAGGTGCTCCCAACCCTGATGGGGACACTCTAGACACAGTGAGTTATGATACTCAGGTGCCTGGGAATCTACTCCTTGGCTACATTGGTCCCCTCTACCTGTATCTGACCTCTGGCTGACCCCAGCTGTCCCAGAACACAGGCAGAACATGGGGAAAGGGATCCCAGGTTTGGGCAGCAATGAAGGGCAGAGGGAGTTCTTACCTGCATCAGGAGGCGGAGGGGCCTGCCTGCCTCCTGTTCCAGAACTCTGAACTTCACACCAGCTATTAGAAAAGCAAAGTACTTAGGAAGGAAAGTGGCAAATCTCTACTCCCAGTTAGCCTCACGGGTCCCACTGTAGGTTAGCAAAGGCTGTTGCAGATGGTGAATTCTAACACTAGAAGCCCCTTTGAGCCTACCAGGCAGCAGCAGACCTGCTAGGCACACACGGTTCTCTCCTCCTCCTTTCCCACCAGCCTTTTTTTTTTTAAGTTTATTTTTTATTTTTATTTTATGTTCATTGGTGTTTTGCCACAGGTGTTGGCAGACAGTTGTGAGCTGCTGGGAATTGAACCCGGGTCCTCTAGAAAAGCACTCACTGCTCTCAACCACTGAGCCATCTCTCCACACCCCCCCCCACACCAGCCCCTTTTTATTGGGTGTCTGTCTTATGGTTTTCTATGTCTGGCTGACTTGGGGACCCACAGCACTCCTGGCCTGTAGTTTGGGCTCCCAGTGTAGAAAAGTTCTTAAAAAGAGCAGGAAATAGCCAAGCAGTGGTGGCACACGCCTTTAATCCCAGCACTTGGGAGGCAAAGGCAGGAAGATCTCTAAGTTCAATTCAAGGCCAGCCTGATCTACTTAGTGAATTCCGGGACAGCCAGTGCTATACAGAGAAACCCTGACTCAAAAAACAATAAACAGCAGGAAATGAAGTTTCCTTGAAGCCAGTGAGATGAGAAGGGACAGAACTGTGGACTGCTAGGCAAAGTTAAAGTGACCTGGACAAGCTATTGGCTCCAGGCTAGGGAGGAAGAGGCCCTGAATCCCAGGCTGTATCTGGGTCTACTGTGGCCCTCCTGTCTTTGTGTCTGAGGTGAAGAAGTGGAGGCAGAGGGTATGTGTGCAACATTGTAAATGAGTCTTTGGCCTGGGCCTCCTGAAGTTAATGGAGAAATTAGCTAGAAGGATGTTCTCAAAATGTTTTATAGGCATTCAGTAGCACTGCGATGCCTGCAGGCAGACCTAGATATTGATTCAAAGCCAAGGAATCTGCACATCCCTATCAAATGGCTCTGAGCTAGCTGGAAGTCAAATGGGCATACTGGTCACCTTAGAAATCACCTGAACTAGAGGTGAACATTGGCTATATCAGGTAATCCTGAGGCCCCTGCTGTATCCAAAACCCCAGAGACAAACAACATCATGTCTAAAAGACGTAGATTTCCCTCAAGGACTCTGGAATCAGGGGATTCCAGAGATTCAGGGGAACAGCTTAGATGATGATTATAGGCAGTGCAGGATGAGCCTGGCACAGTCTAGCAGCCCTCATTCTGTCCTGCTTCCAAGGGTGAGGGCCATCAAAAATGCAGACATATAGCCTATAACCTCATTGAGATAGACTGCTCTGAGCCATACCCTGCACAGACCCTGCAGCAAGACTCACATATTACAGGAAGGATGAGGCCTCAGGTCTTTATGTCTCTGAAATATACTCTCAGGGAGACAGAGCAGACAGCATGTTCCCGGGGCCAAGTCTATCTTCTACTCTACTGTGTTCTGCTCACCCATGCCACATCCACCAATTCTTTCAGGCAGGAGACACATGAGGTTGGCACAGGTGCTTTTGCAAGGCCTATGGGTATGTTGTACCATCTGTTAGAAGCCAGCCACCCTGAACCCAACACTTACCAGCCAGCCTATAGGGTCGGCAGAGTCGAAGGCCAAGGGAGTATAGCGGCAGGGAGTTGATGAGGTCCACAAGAAGATGGATTAGGCCCTGCACAGTGATCACCAGGAGCCGGAGCTGTCGCAAAGGTCACATTCAGGGCCACTGACTGGGGCTGAAGCCACACATCAGACTAAGAGGAGAGCAGCCCAATAGGCTCTTGAGCTATACTCACTAAGGGTGACCAGAGGCTCAGGAACCCTAAGGAAAACATAGACTCCACCCTAAAGAGACTAAAGAGCTGGCAGCAGAGCAGCTGGCACTCTTTCCTAGTCAGAAACTGTGTATTAACATTCCCAACACTTACAGGTCAAACCCAGAGGGCCTGAGCCATCTGGGGATCACTTATCTCATACTGTCCAGCCTGGTGTTGTTCCTCTACGATTCTATCCACCCACTATGGGGCCTGACCTCCTCTGTAACCAGCCCAGTCCAGGGCAGGACCCCCCAACTGCTTTAAGACCAGCATATAGTTCCCAGAGAGTTCAGAACAGCCACAGTGATGTGACCCGAAGAGATAGATGGCCCGTTCCCCATGTGACTGGCTCAGGCAGTGACCAGTCCAAGTTTTGTAGGTCCCAGAACAGGAGGTACTGGACTCACCAGGGTAAATACCAGGTAGTACAGAGCGGTGGTAGGCAGCAAGAAGACCAGGATGGTAAAGAGCAAGGTCCCAATGAACAGCTGTGGGGAACAAGCACACTTGGTATTATAAGACCAAAACCAGGGGAGGCCACTCCATCACTCTCCACACACACCCATCGTTAAACTGCTGTTGGGATTTTTTGGCCTCCTGTGCTAGCAAGGGTCAGCATGATCCCTTTACCATGAGGGATGTGTCCACATACCTTGTGGACCTGGTGGCTTGTGGGGATATAACCAGCAGGGTATACAGGCAAATATGAGGTTAGGAAAAAGTGCATATCAGGTCTGGGTGAGCAAATGGAATAAGCCAAATCAGGCCTTATGCCCACCTGAGCAAAGTATGTGTAGGTCTGCTGGCACCTCCCCCCAGGCCAACTGTCAGAGGATAGTTACAGTAGGCTGGTCACTGGTAGTGTCCAAGGAGTTGCCCTGACAAGGTCAGCAGGCTCAAAGCTGTAGGTACCTGGTCAAGATCATAGGAACAGGAATCCACCCGCTGGCGCAGAACATTCCACTTCTTCCCCCGGAACAGACGCCAGAGCGAGGAGAGGCCATAGATCTTCAGGCAGTACAGCCTGTAGGACACAGGCTCATGAGGGCCAGCTGGGAGCCTGTGCCACGCCTCACCCATCTGCTCAGACCCTGCTGTGTGCCCATGGCTTAGAACACTACACTTGGGTAAATACGTACCTGGCACCATAGACATAGAAGCAGTAGATGTGGAAGGTAAGGAGGGCGATGATGTCGGAAAGGATGGACAGGGCAACAGTCAGTCCTAGGCAGGCTGAGAGGCCCACATGCCACAGGATGTGCTCAATAAAGGGGGACATAAGGTGGATATAGCCTGCAGGATGGAGTTCAGCTATGAGTAGTGCCCAGCGAGGCACAGTGAGCCCCAGTTCCTGAGAATGGGCACCTAACACTTCAGGACACCAGTGAGTACAGACCCAGCCACTGGCCCGACACAATTGCTTCATATAAATGGGAGGCTAGAAAATGGAGGCAGAGGGGATGGGGACTGGCTAGGGTTCCTGTTCTCCTCTATCAGCCCTACTGGGCTGCTCAACCCTGCCCATCAGGCACTCACTGATCCACAGATGGATGTGGTACAGGAAAAAGCGGCCTAGCACCTGATCCAGTGCCCGATTCATCTTGAGCCCAGCAGGAGCACCCATCAGCCACTGCAGCAGATGCTGGAGCTCCTCAGCCACGCGCTACAGAGACATGGGGCAGGGAAGGGATGACATGGTCACACTGAGGTAAGTGGGTGGGTGGAAAATTATCCATAATGGGCTCCCACTATAGCCAGTCTATCTGGGCTGGGTAAGGGCAGCCACTTCTTCCAAGGTTCAAATCATTGTCCTTTTTTTTGTGGGGGGAGGCAAGGTCTCACTATGTAGTCCCAGCTGTCCTAGAACTCACTCTGTAGACCACACTGGTCTCAGACTCACAGAGATCTGCCTGCCTCTGCCTCCCCAGTGCTGGGTTAAAGGTGTGCACCACCATGCCCAGCAAATCATTGTCGGCTAACATTGCATAGAAGCAATGTTTCCCAAATTCGCCTGGCCACTGGACCCCTGACCCCTGGTCACAGATGATTTCTTTCTTTCTTTCTTCTCTTTCTTTCTTTTTCTTTCTTTCTTTCTTTCTTTCTTTCTTTCTTTCTTTCTTTCTTTAAATTTAAATGCACTTTATTTTTAAACAACCTACATTACATGTTTTTTTTCTTTTCTTTTTTTTAAATTTATTTATTTTTACTACATATATAGTGTTCTGTCGGCATATTTGCCTGCACACCAGAAGTGGGCACCAGATCTTATGAAAGATGGTTGTGAGCCACCATGCAGTTGCTGGGAATTGAACTCAGGACTTCTGGAAGAGCAGTCCAGTGCTCTTAACCTCTGAGCCATCTCTCCAGCCCCAGATCATTTATTTCTAAGATCCTGCTCTGAAGCATCTTCCAACATAAACCAGTTCCTTGGGCATGTGTCCCCACGGGATATCTACCTCAACTTGAGAACTTCCTTCATGCTCACTATCTTGCCATTTCAGTCCTGGAACCATAAGGCCTTAAACCCACGATACCTAGGTATGGCTGAGGTTGGATTGACCCTGGCTCAATTCAAACAACGCAGGGGAACTTGAGAATACTGAAGCTCTTGGTCAAGACCTCTCTCCTTGCCACTTGCTACCAGAGGTTAAGGCCACCCAGCAATCGATAGCCACCTTGGGTGAATGAGAGGGTGTCAAACCAACCAGGGACTAAGGAAGCAGGTTGGAGCACTGGAGAGCAAGGGCACTCAGAGAAAAGACAAAATTAATTGAGCACAGGGACTTCAACAGTAAGCAGGAAAACTGGACCTGGCTGCCACAGGAGTAACTCCTGTATCCCTATATGCTCTTTCCAAAGCCTCTCGCAACCCTGTGCAAGAGCCTTAGGACCACCAGGGAAGACAGCAAAACCTTCTTTATAAATAGGGCTTATTTAATATTTAAAGGATAAAAGCCTGGCAGCGGAAAGAGACTCCACTTTTTAATTAAATATTTATATATATATATATAGCAATTTTGCAAAAAAGAATTCAGACAAAGCTGGCCAAGAAACAGAATATAGAAACAGCCTAACCCCTTCTACCCAACCACTTTCCTACTGGGATGCCCTCCATATAGCTTACATTTCAGGTAGCCGAGAGGAACCCACTGCTGCTCCCAGGTTCCCAGCCTGGAAACAAGCAGACCTGACATACGCCTGCACTGATGGGAGACCTTCAAGGCTTCCACAAGAGAGACAGGGCTTTGGCTCTACTGAAAATGAGATGCAGAACTGAAAAGTTCTGAGGCTGGGTGGAAATGAGGAGGTGGAGGAGGCCAGAAGAGCAGGAAGGGACCAGCATGATATGCTGCACACACCATGCAGGGGAACACTGGGAGCACAGAGGACAGGCCTGTGCCTCTTGTTCTCAGGATAAGAGCAATCTGGGAGTAGTGTCTGGCCAGCCCAACAACAGCCCAGAGCACCGAGGTGTCCTAAGGTTGACTTTCATCTGGAAGATCAGCCCAACATGGAAAAGGGGCCCATGAAAGCCTGAACCACAAGTGGTCCCCAGACACTGCCACCTTCAAAAAGCAACAGCAGACCTTGGCCAATACTGCTCTGGAAGACACAGGTACCAAGAGCACCTAGGGCCAAGGTCTCAGGCTAGGGCCAAGGGCTATGTCTCTAGGGTGAGGACAGGGAAGAGCTGCTCCGGCCAGCTGAAGGATTGCCCAGGAGGATTCCCCACCCTTAGGAAGCTGGGCATCACCCAGATCTACTCACATCAGCCACGGGGACCAGGGCATTGGCCAGCTGTCCAATTCGGTTATTGCTGTGGAGCCAAGAGAGCAGCAGCAGGCCCAGGGCCACATCCAGTAGCACAGAAACGAGCATGTTGGCTTTCCTGCAAGAAATGTCAGGAAAAGCAGTTGAGAGACCGCAAGACAGCCTGTGACCCACGAGGGGCCTGGCTGGAGGCACAATGTAGAGCAGAGGTGGAGAAGAGGACGGGCCATGCCACCCATCCTGGTAAAGCAAACCATACCTCATCAGCTGCATGGGACTCTGGGCTTTCTGGGTGCTAAAGATGAAGGAGAGGTGCTTGAGTCGGTGCTGAAGCTGTTCACAAGTGGAAAGCTTGCTTCTGATGAAGGCAAGGGGCCACAGCTTCCACAGCCTGGGGAGAGTATAAGGGCTGAGGCTGGCAGCTCCAACCTAGTTCTTTGGTTTTCCTGCCAAGGTCCCTTACTCTAGAAAGAAAGGGCCAGATCCACTCAGCCTGAGCCCTTTGGTTCCACTCCAAAGCTCAGCAAGGCCTAGGCAAGTATGAAGGCCAACACAGCCAAGCAAGGATGCATAGCACCCTCCTGAGCACCCCACCCCTCGCTATTCCGACTGTTACTCACAGAGCCTCAGGCATACCTGAGCTCACCAGACAATACAAAGATGAGTCTCAAAATGGCTGAAAAGTGAGCCAGGAGTGGTAGTTCATGCCTTTAATCCCAGTACTCAGGAGGCAAACAAACAGATCTCTGAATTCAAGGCCAGCTTGGTCAGGGCTACCCAGTCTCAAATACAAAAAGATAGACAAAACAAAACAAAACAAAACTGGGCAGTAGTAGTGCATGCCTTTAATCCCAGCACTCAAGAGGCAAAGACAGGAGGATCTCTATAAGTTCCAGGACAGCCTGGTCTACAGAACAAGTTTCAGGACAGCTAGGGTTACACAGAGAAACCCTATCTCAGAAGTGGGGGAGCCCAAAAGTGGGGATTAAATAGTCTCCCACCCACCCAGGACTTCCCCTGCTCAGCAAGGTTCTGGTGGGATTCCTAGTAAGACTGGATTCCTCACACAGGAGGCACAGAGATATTCCCACAGATGCTCACAGTGAGAGGAAATGTCTCTGAACCACGCCTGACAGCAACTGGGCTGCACTCATGTGAGCCAGGACATGAGTTGAGGAGCACAAGAACAGCAGCATTAGGGGCTGTATTGCCATTTAGAGCCCTTGCTGGAGGCAGGAGGGACCTAAGGGCTCCTGGGATGTGCAGAGCTGTGTGTAACCTCAGGGGAAAGAGCAGGACTTGACCTTGGAAGGTTTAGAGGCCTCTCTTCCACAGTGCAGCTTTGAGTCAGTTCTAAGAACTATACTCAAGGAGCTGGAGAGATGGCTCAGGGCTTAAGAGCACTGACTGTCCTTCCAGAGGTTCTGAGTTCAATTCCCAGCAACCACATGGTGGCTCACAGCCATCTATAATGGGATCTGGTGCCCTCTTCTGGCACACACTGTATACATGATAAATAATAAATAAAATAAATAAGAACTGTACTCAATAGAGCCTTCCCTTTCAAATAGCCAACCATAGTTACCTCTCACTGGCCACATGAAACTCCCAGACTTCAGGTCAGTCCTTCATGGACCAGGCTCACAACAGCCTTGGGGCTGTTTGAAAAGGGCACGAAATCATGACAGCCTTGCGTGTACACCAGCATCATAACCATTGCCTCTTGCTTAATGGGTAGGCAGCTGTCTACAATCAATACACAAGGGTCTTTCCTGAGTCCCTGGAGAGGATAAAGAAAACTAGGACTTTCTTGATGTAATGGCACCTGGGCCCACATATAGCTCCACCTTATTAATTCCAAAGTTGTCACAAAGTCTACACCATACATCAAGACACCCAGCAGCTCCTGCAACCTAAAGTGTATCCCATAGGTTACCCAGGGCTCCCTTTCTGGGAAAGTATCCAAAGGTCCCCAGAGCCCCTGGAAAAAGTGGCAAGGTCAGCCAGAGCCCATACCAGACACTAGTCTGTAGAAAAGGAGGGAGAAGCTGAAGAACTACAGCTGTTCCTTATGGGCAGCAGCACCAAGAAAAACATCATCTTAGCTTAGCTGCTAGACTGCTTGCCCAGTACCATGGTGGTGCATGCCTTTAATCCCAACACTTTGGTGGAAGAGGGAGGTGGATCTGTGAGTTCAAGGCAGGCTGGTCTACATAGAGAGTTCAAGGATAGCCAGAACTTCATAGTGTCACACTGTCCCCAAAAAATAAAGTTAGGGCTAGAGAGATGGTTCAGGGGTTAAGAGCACTGGCTGTTCTTCCAAAGGTCCTGAATTCAATTTCAAGCAACCACATGGTGGCTCACAACCATCTGTAATGAGATCTGGTGCCCTCTTCTAGTGTGCAGGCATACAAGCAGGACAAATACTATATATAATAAATAAATCCTTTAAAAAATAAAAACTAAAATAAAAAGTTAAAGGTCATCTATGGCTACACAGCAAGTTTGTGCCTGGCCTGAGATATATAAAAACTCAAAAAAAAAAAAAAAAAGGCAGAGTTGAGAAAGTTTAGAGAGAACATTTGTGAGAGCTCTTAGGCTCTCATTCACAAGCTAAACTATGGTGCTATCCAGCATTCCCAGGACTTGGAAGGACTTTTCCAAATCTCTCACCAGGCCAACAACCCATGATTCTAAAGCCTGGGTGGGGGACACCGCCCCAGGAAACTGACTGGCCTAGAGAGGAACCACATCAGTAGGACAGAGAAGCAGGGGAGTGGGCAGCTCTGTATCCTCACAGGCCAAACAACTCCAGGCTAGGCAGATATTGACTTTTAATCCCAACACTCCCAGAAGCAAAGAAAGGTAGAGTTTGAGATCTACATAGAGAATTCCAGGCCAGCCAAGGCTACATAGCTGAAACCCTATCTCAAAACAAACAAACAAACAAAGAAACAAACAAACAAAATAGTAGAATGAGCCAAAGAGACGGTGCAGTGATTCAGGGGACTTGGTGCTCTTACAGAAAATGCTGACTTGATCTCCTACACACACATGGTGGCTCAGAACCATCTGTAACTCCAGTTCCAAGGGATCTGACCCTCTCTTCTGACCAGGGACACACATGATACACATATATAAATACAGACCAATATTCATATATATACATTTTTTTAAAGGGTACAACAACCTAGTTTTGTGTTCATCACATTTTTGTTTGTTTTTTTCGAGACAGGGTTTCTCTGTGGCTTTGGAGGCTGTCCTGGCACTCGCTCTGTAGACCGGGCTGGCCTTGAATTCACAGAGATCCGCCTGCCTCTGCCTCCCGAGTGCTGGGATTAAAGGTGTGTGCCACCAACGCCCGGCTCGACATTTCTTTTTTAGATACTTGAAGTATCTATGGTTCATTCTCTACCCAGACAGATGGGCCCCTCACAATCAGTCTACAGGAAAAAAATTCTGGACCCAGAGGGACACAGGAACAGCAGCCTCTACTAGGACATCCTCTGAGATGCAAAGGGAGGGAAGGTAAGATGAGAAAGGGGTCTCCAAACAACAAACAACATGCACCTCAGGAAGGACCCTGGCTGTCAATGTCACTACATACTGAAGGGAGAGCCTATGAGTCTCATGGGACCAATTTCTTGCTCTACCCTTCCTGTCTGATATACCTACCTGCAAGCACTTGCAGCTGAGAGCAGGGACAGCAGGGAGGCCATCAGCAAGCAAACAGGCCCTGAGGCCTGCTTGGCCAACTCCACAAGTATGCTGGCCTCCATGCCCTCTGACTGCCAGTGGCTCAGGCGTACCGGGCCCTCATCAAATTGGTCATTTCGGAAGAGCACCTCACTGTGTGCCACCGTGTCAAAGATGTCAGCTAGGCCTCCAGTACTGGCTGTGGTCTCTCCAGCCTGGCAGTCAGGCAATGCTGTTGGTGGATGAAGCCAGGAGAGCAGCAGCTTGCGCTGATCATAGAAGATGAGCATGACCTGGTCTTCAGTGGGTGTGCCTTGCAGCTGATGGTAAGTGGCCTTGCAGCTCCAGAACCTGGTACCCCTCTCCCGGCATAGCTGCAGCCAGGGATCATGGGAGAAGATAGCACCCAGGCCCTCTAGGAAGTGCCCCAGGCTCTCCTCGGGTTCCTGCCGACGGTGGCACCAGGTGCCTAGCACAGCCACTTGTACTTGGCTGGCCTTGTGCACCTGGGCCAGAAGCTCCTTGACTTGGATGGGGATGAAGGGAAAGTGCGCCACAGCCAGGATCACGGCACTATTCTGTTCTGGGATCCACCGTCCCACTAGTAGGCCACTGTCTGCCGAGGCACAGCATGTGGGGAAGAAGGCCTTGAGCACCATGCCGGGGGCCCTGGAAGAGAGGAGAAGGTGTTGGTTTAGAGCTGCTGCCTCTGTGGCTGCTAGATGCTGTGCCATGCTTATGGATCATTCACCTGGCCATAGGTTGGGAAAGCATGGTTCCAGATTTGGTGGCAGAGACTGTGGGTCATGGCTATGCATCTCATAGGGACTAAACTCTTCCAAGCACTGGCCCAGGGAGCAGCACTATATGTGCGACAGCAGGCTAGCGCTTCCTCACATTCTGAAACAAGCAGCCCAAAGGGGGGCAAAGTGAGGTACCCAGGCAGATGCTGTTGATAACAGTAGGGGGGCTGAGCCTCAGGTCTTTAAGGACCTAATGAGAAAGCCTTCCTTATGAGTTTCATATACAAAAGCACACAGTATGAACATGTACACAAATCCTAACTTTAACAAGCCAGAAGCCAGTTGTGTAAGGCATACCTGTAATCCCAGCAGTGGAGAGGAGGAGGCAGGAGTACCAGGAGTTCAAGGCCAGCCTTCAAAAGAAAAAAGAGGAAAAGGAGGAAGAGGAAGAAAAAGATGAAAGGATGTCTCTTGACTATAATTTCAGTACTCAGGAAGCTAAAGCAGGAAGATCACTGAGTTCAAGGCCAGCCAGGCCTACACGTGAATTCCAGAGATGCCTAGAATACAAAATAAGGCCTTGTCTCAAACAGCAACACACAGGATTTGCTTAAGCAAGAATTAAGATAAAAGTTTAAAACCTGGGACTGGAGAGATGGATCAGTGGTTAAGAGTACTTGTTGCTTTTGCAGAGGACCTGGGTTTGATTCCTAACACCCATATGGTGGCTCACAACCATCCATAACTCCAGTTCTAGCAGATCCATGGGCACCAGGCACACATGTGGTGCACATGCATACATACATGCAAAACCTCATGTACATAAAGTAATCAAATCTTAAAAATTATTAATCTGTTTTGGAGAGCCAGGGATAGTTTTGTTTTCTTTCTTTATAATTTTATTTTGTGTTTATTGTTGTTTTGCCTACATGGATGTCTGTGTAAGAATGCCAGAAACCCTGGAGTTACAGGTGTTAGCTGCCATGTGGATGCTGGGAATTGAACCCAAATCCTCTAGAAAAGCAGCCAGTGCTCTTAACCATGGTTTTCAACGGTAGAGTGCTTGCCTAGAATGTTCAGCATTCTGAGTTTGATCTCAAATACCACTCATGGTTTTCAACGGTAGAGTGCTTGCCTAGAATGTTCAGCATTCTGAGTACCATCTCAAATACCCCCCCCCCCCCAAAAAAAAAAAAACAAACAAAATAAAAGCAAAGCAAACCAAACAAATTGTGTTTGGGGCTCATGAAAACTAGATGCACACATTTAGTACTGGTCCTAGAGCTGAGTCTAAGGCCTAGGACTCAGAAGGAACCTATCCTGTAGCAGGGAGCATGTCCTTCTGCCACTGGGTTCAGAGAACAGTTCAGTCAGAACGGATTGCAAATTCAAGGCCTGCCTGGGCTACAGAGAGATCAAGGGCAACTGGGTCAATGTGGGGTGACACTCTGTCTTAAAGAGGAAAAAAGGGGAGCAGGGTGGTGGTGGCACTTGCCTTTAATTACAGCACTCAGGAAGCAGAGGCAAAGGCAGAGGCAGATGGATCTCTGTGAATTCGAAGTCAGGCTGGTCTACAAAGCGAGTTCTAGGACAGTCTCCAAAAGCTACAGAGGGAAACTCTGTCTTGAAAAAAACAAAAACAAAAACAAAAACCCAAGCTCTCTCTGCAACAGCCATTTCCAGGTAGATCAAGTAAAAAAAGCCTCAGGAAGCCTCTCCATAGAACTCCAAGTCAAAAGTCTCCAGTAAAACAAACTCCAAAGCGCCTGGAGAATGCAGCAACTGGCAGGTGTCCAGAGAGAAACCCCGATGCCCAACACTAGCCCCTAACCAAATCCCCAGGGCCAGTATCAAGAACCAATTTATCTGGTCCCTTCTGTGGGAACGTCTTCAGAGGGCCATGACATGGGGGCAGTAATGCATTGTAAAGAGTACTAGAGCAAGTTGGGTGGTGATAGAGCCCAACTTTAATCCCAACACTCGGGAAGCAGAGACAAGCAGATCTCTGAGGTTGAGGCCAGCCAAGCCAATACAGAAAAACCCTCTAACCACTCCCCCCTCCAAAATGGGGGTTAGAGCGATTTTGCTTGTAAGAGCCCCAGTGCACCACTGTTACAGGGGACCATTTAGCACAGCCCAAGCTTTTCTACAAACAACCCTGTAAGGATACACCAGCCCAGCCCAGTGAAGTAGTAGCCATCTGACTCTCCTGGGGAACACTTCATAAAAACCAGGGGAAAATGCTCACAACAGTGTGGGAAGAGAAAAGCCCTTGGTCTGATTATAAACAGATGGGGGGGCGCTAGTTTTGAGTCTGTTCATAATGAGTAAATTCAGTGTGCTATACACAGTTTGTGCATATCCGTTTAGTAAGGCATGCTTCATTTTCAGTTTACCTTAAAAAAAAAAAAGCAAAACAAAACAAAAAGCATCTCAGGTCAAAGGAAAGAAGACAGAAGGAAGAGGTTGGTGTTCTGATCTGTGGAGTACTGAGAGAACTCAAGGAGTTATGGGGCAAATTCCCACCCTCACTCCCAACTCAGGAACCACTAAAGTGTAAAGGAGTGTGCTTTCACTGGGCTGCTGGGATTCCAGCAGCAGAAAAAGATGAAAGAGCGGGCAATCGATACAAGAGAAGGTGAGAGGCTGGAGAGAGAAGGCACAAACCTGGGCAGTGTGAACATGTTTAAAGATGCTGATTAAAAGAACAGCTCAAACCTGGGAAAGCTGCCTCTGCTAGGAAGGAGTTAGTGCCCTCCGCAATAGACCATTCCCAGATAGGTTTAATAAAAGATGCATCAGGAAGTCTCTTGATAGAACTCCAGACTTCAGTAGAAGCAGAACTGCTGCTTACCTCCCCTGCATGACCAGGTTTGAGGGATGGCCCAGCTAAGAGGGGCCAGGGACACATCATAGTTGAAACTCTTCTTTGTGAATTTGCCAGGGTTCATGCTTATTCCACGTTCAAAACAACCAAGAAGGGAAAAAAAAAAAAACACACACACACACAAAAAAACAAAAAAACAAAAAAACAAAACCACTTTTCTGGCTGGAGATGTAACTCAGTTGGTAGAGTGCTTGCCTAGCCTGCAGGAGAACCTGGACTCAGTCCCCAGAACATCAGAAACCGGCAGTAGTAGTACATGATGTAATCGGGAAGTGGAGGCAGGAAAATAAAAAAATTCAAGGTCATCCTTTGCTACACTGGTACTTTGAGGCCAATTTTAGCTTTAAGAGAACGTGCCCAGAAACACTTTCTTGCCTCTGTAAATGCTTTCCTTTTTCATTTCAAAAGGAGGTGGTAAATCTGTTTCAGATCTTTACTGGGGTGAAGGACAAGTGTGAGCCTCTTTGCCTGTGCTCCAGGAATCTTCCAGCTAGTCCCCGCCTGGAAGAGAGGAAGGCCGCTCGGCGCCTTCAAGCTCCGGATTGCAGGCTAGACCCACAACGGGTGCCGCCGAGCCTGGAGGTCAGCTGCGGGGTGGCCACCGCTCCCTCCACTCCGGCCTCCGGATTTCCCATCTCAGAGTATTAGAAGACAGGCTGAGGACCAAGAGGCCTGCACGGCCTCGGCATTTCCTCCTCCTCTCCCGGCCCCGCCGCCCCTAGTGCTCACCGGCTGCTTCCCCGGGCCGCGTCCCCGAGCGGTAGGGAAGGGACTGCGTTAGGCACCGCGTCCGGCGGGCCCGGGAGGACGGACAGTGCTCGCGGCTCCCAGGCCCGCCGCGGGACTTCAGCCCCATTTCCGCCGGCTCCGCGCGTTGCCGCGCGACGGTCCGGTCCCCAAACGTGCACGGGCTGTCCACCAACTGAGCCCCAGAGTTCCGAGCTCGCGGCTCCAGCCATCAAACCTACTCCCGCCTTAAATGTCCTGAAAGACCGGGTTAAACCAGCTTGTAGGGACACAGATCTCTTTATTCTCACCTTCATGTCCTGCCTAGGCTAAGCCCCGGGCCCTCCCATCTGTCTCTCCATATTGCAGGTAGGGGTCACGCCGACATACGTGGGCCACCTAGCTCGAGAGCAATATCCCTAAAAACGCAGCAACTAATGTTTATTGAGCATCTACTTACACGTAAAGATCTTACATTGTCCATCAATCCCCCACAACATAAAGATCAGGGTATATTGGGATAACCTGGAGGGACGACAGATGTGTCGGTATAAACCACAGATCTCAATGTCCAGGTGACAGGCTGGGTATGCCACCCCACAGCCCGAAAGTTCAGAAGCAAGCACGTAGCAAGCACTTTTTTCTTGTTCCTTCTCACATGATCGGGACTAGTAAGCTCTTTTCTCAATCTCTCTCTCTCTCTCTCTCTCTCTCTCTCTCTCTCTCTCTCTCTCTCTCCCTCTCTCCTCCCCTTCCAGATCTCATATGTAGCATTGGAGGAAAGGCCACCATTTTCCTGGCTTGAAAGCATATGAAAGGACTTATGCCACCCAGACCCTCCCAATACCCTACCCAAGAGCTCAAGAGTGGTTTGGACCTGGATTTCGAGAGAAACTGAAGACATCTTTCAAAATGGGACGTGTACAGGAGAGGACCTTGAAACCCCACCCTTAACATGTGTCCCTTCCAGGACACCTCAAGAGCTTGCTCCTCTAATTTGCCTACCCCTTACCTCTGTTGGGCCCAGAGTTGCTGCTGGAGGCTCAAGAATGGGGATGTCTCTGAGGCTGGGGGAGGGGGGCACTAAGAGACCACACCCATACCCCAAGCTGACCAGCCTAGCCACACCCTTCCAGCCTGCCTGCCTGCCTCTGATTAGGATGTAGAGGTTGGGGCACCCAGCACGAGATAATGATGCCTGGCTATGCCCTTGCAGATAGCCTCAGCACCCCAGAATCTGTAGCTTCAAGTGTCACCTCAAAGCCCAGGACTCCTGAAACCTATGCTAGCAGAGCTAGGGACTGGTGGCCCTTGGGGGTAGGGAGTATGAAGGGCCAGGGCATACTGAACAGGGACATGGAGATGGCCCAGTTTAGAGCCTCATGGGGAGGTGGTGATTCATGGCTGCTAAGTAGACAGGAGCATTTGCCAAGAGGATATCAGAAGGCCAGCTAAGGCCAGGTGTCAAAGCAAGGAGCCCACTAACCTTCCACAATAGTACAAAGGACTCAGGGCTGGCCTACCCTCAGGCCATCTCTCCAAGATACTGGTACACCTTGATGCAGTTGTCCCCTGCATCTGCCACTACCAGTTGGCCCTGGGGAGCACAGGCCATACCTAAGGGCCTCTGTAATCCCTCCAACTGCAAGCAGATGGGTGGCCCAACTCGGGGAAACAGGGTTACCTGGTGCTTCTGCTCATCAGCCACAATAATGCTACCCTGTGAATCAGCGCACACACCTGCTGGATGGCCAAAGCTATGCCCAGTCAGGGTACCCAGGGAGCCCAGAGGCTGGTGGGCACTGCCAAACAGCTGCACATCCCCAAACTCTTCACTCACAGCAAGGCCCCCATCAGGCCCTGGACCCACCCAGCAGGGGCCCTCCAAACCTAGTATGGAGGTTGGAGCCAGGGGCTCCAAGGTTGGTCCCAACATGAAGCTGTGCACAGTTCCAGGCAAGTAGTCTGTCACCAGGAAGTGGCCAAAGGCATCCACAGTTAGCCCTCTGGGGGACAAAAAGGTACCTACAGTCACCCAGCGACCCTGGGGTTCCCGGGAAGTGTACTGAAGAGCACACACGGCCCCATGGATGAGGTCACTGACCACCACAAGCCCTGAAGCTGTCACAGCCACATCCTCTGGAACAAAAGTTCCAGTTGTGGGCATGTGGCAGGGTAGTTGACAAATGGAATGTCCCTCAAGATCCAGCACATGGACACAGGATGCAGCACCAGCCGTCAAGAAGAGCAGGCCATCTGGGGAGCAGTGCAGGCCTCGGGGAGACCCCGAAGCCCCTGCTGGCACCAGGATTTGCCCCAGCAGCCGGGGTTGCCAGGAGCAACTGGCATCTCTAAGTTGGTCCAGTCTGAGATCAGGCTCTTGGGTGTAGGTGGCTGGAGGTAGGGGTGGCCCGGGAGGTCAAGGAGTCAGGACAGATGGGAGGCCAAGGGCAGCAAGTCAGTCATCTCAGCGTCTCTGCAGCTGCAAAGGAGTTGGAACACCCATGTGTGTTGATGGCAGCTGAAGGGTGCTGGCACCATCCTATGGTACTGGGGAAAGAACCGAGCTAAAGTGGGAGGGGGAGGGTAAGGCTGAGCTGTATTCATGCTCAGTTCCCTGAGAGCTCACCTGGTCCCCAAGCCCAGCAGTCACACAGGTAACAAGGTGTCTGCAACACTGGTCTGAGAGACACCGCCCTTATCCTGGACACTTCCTACTGACTCAAGAGGGTCAAAGTTTTTGCTCTAAGGCCAAAATCACAGGCACAGCTGTGTCCCAACTTGGGAGGGAGGGTGAGGGGAGACAGATGAGCAGCGTTTCTCAAACTCACCAGCAGCCCTGGGACAACTCCAGAGGGATGGCCTAAGCCCCTGTTAGTGTCAGGCCCCCAACACCACCACCACACACAACACACAGCTCCTCTGCTTTGACCAGAGACAGCCCAACCCCAGGCTCCCAGGGTTCTCCACTAGCCCCTTCCATAGAGACCAGGATATCCTTACCTAGGGTCAGGATCCTGCTCTGGCCTCAGGGCTTTAACTCAAGCCTCTGTTGTTGGAGACAGCCTGTGAGTGGTGGGGGGATGGTAGTAGGGGAGGAGTCGCCAGATGAGTCCCCTGCAGGGACAAGTTAAACAAGGAAGGAGGGAGGGAGGGGCTATTTGGGCTGAGTCCCTGGCCTCCAGGCCTGCACCCTCTTGCTTGTGTCCTCCCATGGGCCCCGCCCTTATCCTGGACACTTCCTACTGCCCCTTCATAGCTGAATGTCTCTCAGACAAACCTGCCCTCCCCAGAAGGCACCCATAGTCCTCTACAAATATAGGCCACCCCTCCAGGCAGGGCATTTGTGTCAGGACCAAACCTTGGTCACCCTTTTGCCACCTCCACCAGGAGGTCAAGCTGGCATTGTCTCTGTTCAGGGGAAGCTGGTGATGTTATCTCCCAGAATCAGAAACCAGGATGCAGTAGGCATATGGGGGTGCTGAGAGGAAGCTGCCTCAGATTTAGGACTTGAAGTTCCTTGGACACCTGGTTGTGCCCCCAGCAGTTCCCCAGGAAGCTTCCAGGTCAATGGTGTCCAGCTAGCATTTGGCCTGCAGCCACACAGCACCCCTGATCTGGCCAGCCAGAACTCTAGCCCCAATACCACCTGTAATGCCTCACAGTGGGGGGGGGGGGGACCCGAGTG